CTTAAAGTTGCTATCATTAATAGAAATTATTTGTTCCCACTTTATAGATGAAAAACAAACCTTCTACCAAAAGCTGATCACCCTGTAATATAATACTCTTAAAAAATCCTCAAGTTCTCAAGCATTTTCTAAATTCTTTACCCGAATCATATCATCAAATTCTCGTGTTACATTGATCTTATTTCTAATTCCACGTATTCTTTTCTCAAGCAGTAATAATTCAAAGTACTCCTAGAAAACTCAAATCACGTATAATTTCCAATCAAAAGATAAGATTGATTTCGTAATTCCTTTAAATCAACAACTAAAATACCTGAATTCGAAGATACAAACGTCGAATATAAAAATCTTCGAGTCCTAAACAGATTGGCGCGTATCCCTGCTTCAACAAAATCAAGAATCAATCACCAATTAAGAAAGAACACGCAAACAATCAAGCAAGCAAGCAGCGTAAGATTACCTTTCGATTATTGGTGTTCCACCAGTTAATAGTTTTGCGAAAGAAATCTCTGATTTGGCCAAAAACAAACAACAAGCCGTAGCTGAAGTAGGTGGTTAAGGCAGTTAAATAGGGAATTGCAATCATTTCTAAGTAAAAAACTGGTAAAATTCAAGAAAGGAAGAGCAGATCTAGGTATAAGAAAGAATGTTGGAATGGGATCCGGATGGAGAGATCCAAGCGAATGGAAGATCCGAAAAATGGAACCGGTGGAAAGGAACGGCAGTGATTGGGAATTGAGTTGAGAGAATCTGTGGATTCTAATCCTGGCGATCCACTGGTTTGGGACTCCGAATTTTTAGACTCAAATGGACGGGCTAGACATGGCGGAATGGTCAACCCATTATTTTAAATTGGAATTCTACAACTCATCTTTAGAGAGGGTGATGCCACTTCATATCACATTTTTACGTCATTCTCTTATGGGTAGCATCTGACGTGGCAGTACATCTCATCTACCACATCAGATGCCATATCATAAAATAAAAGCTTGATGTAAAAATTTAATGTAAAAGTAGCATTATTAAGAGAGGAGAAAGAGTAATGCTATCATTCCTATCGAAACTTATTAATTGACGTGCAAATGATATGGTAAACCACTCATCAACATGTCACATCACTTCCCCAAAACCCAAAAAAAAAAAAAAAAAAAACTTTTTAAACCAAATTGGAATATCAATAAATCAAATTCCCTCCCAAATTGTTTAATCCCTAACTCATATTCTCTCCCAAATTTTACAAACCTAACAATCAAAATTTCTCTAATATATCTCTCTCTGTCAAAGCCTATTCAACCTTACCACCACACCAGTCGCGCCTTGACGGATGACCACCACCAGCCAGCTGCACATTCCAACGGACGACCCCAACCACCGTGCCTTCAAAAAGGGTTTTTTTTTTTTTTTTTTGTGTCCTGCTGATTTCTTATTATCAAAAGTTGTTTACTTTGTGTTTGTGGACCTATTATGAGCTGCCACAATGGTAAGAGAAAGTTTGTGATAAAAGATTATGAGTTTAGCATTTTTCATTTGCATCGGTAAAAGCATTAAAATAAATAAATACCCAAAAATAAATAAATATAAATATATATCTGCACACATGTTTCTGGACTTTTAGAGACAATTCAAATTGTTTCTTTATGTGGAATCAAAGGTACTTAATAACAGTTATATTTTGATAGGATATGATTTGTGTACTTGTATTTATATCTGATACTGTTGTTGGTATGTATAGTCTTTTTAATTTTTATTTATTTGGGTAAGTATAGTCTTTTTAATTGATTTATACATGTTTAACATACAAAATAAATATTAAACAAATTAAAGATTCCTACACATAACACATAAGTATTGGAAAGATATAAATTTAATGATTTGTTATGTCATAAATTATCACCTATTAAAACTTTTAATCATTTTTGGATCATATAATGTTTTATTATAAGAAAATATTATATTAACAGAAAGAGAGATCACTTTGAAGATTACTGGGAATGTTTAGAAAATATGTTTAGTTGGTTCGAATAAATTGATAAATAATATATTTGGTTTGGAGGATAAATGGGTGGATATGTTACATACATTACTAAATTGCTCTCTTTTTTAAATATTAATATAGTAGTATTTTTTATTATTATTTTTTAATCATTTCTTTTAATCCCCTACATTTAAAATTTTGCTAAAACACCCCAACCATATAAAACTTTAATTTATAGCAAAATCATCCCCACCCACCCCAAGCCACTGCCAGCAACCAGCCACCACCACCGGTTGCCATCGGTAGTTGACAGAATGGCACACGATTGGCCATATATGGGCGGTCGTGTGCCGACAAAGTCGAAAATGGCTATGGATCACAAATCCATAGCCAGAAAATAACTAGATATATGGCCATTTCACAATCATAGAAACGCTAGATTTGGCAGTTTTCGGCCATAGATTTGTGATTCATGGCCGAAAAGGCCTTACTGGCACACAACCGGCTAGATCCAACCGGTCGTGCACCATTATGGCGACTGATGTCGACAGGTGGCAGCAATCTTGGATGGTTGGGGGTATTTGGTTAACTTTTAAACTTTTTTATGGTTTGGGTGTTTTAGCTAATTTCTCAAATATAGGCGGGCTAGGTAATTGTTAGTTGGTAGATATTTTAAGGCAACTGTGTCCAAAAGGGTTTTTAATTAACGGCAAAATGGATAAAAAAATCAGATTACCCTGATAATATTTTAATAACACACTCTAACAAGGTAATAAGATTATCCCTCACATTACCAAAAGTAAACACTATTTATAATAAAATATTATTTTAATATTTTATTACTTACAAATCAAATACTGGAATCTTACAAGATAAACGAAGATTACTCCTACTATCTTACATACCCTTGATCCAAACGGCCAAGTCATAAAATGTTACTATGATAGTTACCACTGACCAAATTTCATACAAGTAAAACAATGTGGCTAAAACAAAAAAATCAATAATTAGCGGTTGCATTGAGATAAACAAAATTTGGGTCAATTTACAAAAACTATAAATAGAAGGCTACGCAATAAAGAAACCATTAAAGAGTTTAAAAGCAAAAAAAAAACAGATGCCCCGGTCTGGTAGCTCGCACCAAGCCACTACCTTTGTTTCTATACAAAACCCTAACCAGTAAAGCCCTTGATCTCTCAAAAACCCTAAATTCTCTTCTCAAACCAAAGCTTCAAAGAAGAGGTTCAATGGTTGAAACCAAGGACCCAGAAGAACTCACATTGCCTTCGAAGCGTAAACCCGATTTAAATTGCGAAGAGAACGAAAATCACCCAAACAAAACACAAAAGCTCCAAACACTGAACAACAATTCAGAAATTTCTGAAGACAAAACCCTAATACGAGATAAAGACTGTCTTAATTCAGATGCCCAAGCGAACGACAACGAAGACGAGGATGAAGAAGATGACGACGACGACGACGATGACGTGGAGGATAATGGAGAGGCTGTATTGGATAGAAAGGGAAAGGGGATTTTAATAGAAGAGGAAGATGATGAAAACGATGATGACGATGATGATTCGAGTGATGGCGGCACTCAATCAGACAGTGACAGTGACTTGTCTGATGATCCGTTGGCGGAGCTTGATTTGGACAATATACTTCCATCGAGAACGAGAAGGAAGNGGGGTAAGTATAGTCTTTTTAATTGATTTATACATGTTTAACATACAAAATAAATATTGAACAAATTAAAGATTCCTACACATAACACATAAGTATTGGAAAGATATAAATTTAATGATTTGTTATGTCATAAATTATCACCTATTAAAACTTTTAACCATTACGAGGTGTTTGGATCATATAATGTTTCATTATAAGAAAATTTTATATTAACAGAAAGAGAGATTACCTTGAAGATTATTGGGAATGTTTAGAAAATGTGTTTAGTTTGTTCGAATAAATTGGTAAATAATATATTTGGTTGGGAGGATAAATTGGTATATATGTTACATATATTACTAAATTGCTCTCCTTTTTAAATATTAATATAGTAGTATTTATTATTATTATTATTTTAATCACTTTTTTTAATCCCCTATATTTGAAATTTTGCTAAAATACCCCAGCCATATAAAACTTTAATTTACAGCAAAATCACCCCCACCCATCCCAAGCCACTGCCAACAGCCAACCACCACCACTGGTTGCCACTGGTAGTTCACAGAATGGCGCATGATTGGCCGTATACGGGCGATCGTGTTCCGACAAAGCCGGAAATGGCTATGGATCACAAATCCATAGCTAGAAAATAGCTAGATATATGGCCATTTCACAGCCATAGAAACGCTAGATTTGACCGTTTCCGACCATAGATTTGTGATTCATGGCTGAAAAGGCCTTATTGGCACACAACTGGCTAGATCCCACCGGTCGTGTGCTATTATGGCGACTAATGTCGACGGGCGGCGGTGGTCTTGGATAGCTGGGGGTATTTGGTTAACTTTTAAACTTTTTTATGGTTGGGGTGTTTTAGCTAATTTCTCAAATACAGGCGAGTTAGGTAATTGTTAGTTGGTAAATTTTTAAAGCAATTGTATCCAAAAGGGTTTTTAATTAAAGGCAAAATGGGTAAAAAAATCAGATTAGCTCGATGATGTTTTAATAACACACTCTAACAAGGTAATAAGATTACCTCTCACATTACCAAAAGTAAATACTATTTACAATAAAATATTACCGTAATATTTTATTACTTGTAAATCAAATACTGGAATCTTATAAAATAAACGAAGATTACCCCTGTTATCTTATATACCCTTGATCCAAACGGCCAAGTCATAAAATGTTACGATGATAGTTACCACTGACCAAATTTCATACAAGTAAAACAATGTGGCTAAAACAAAAAAATCAATAATTAGCGGTTGCATTGAGACAAACAAAATTTGGGTCAATTTACAAAAACTATAAAATAGAAGGCTACGCAAAAAAGAAACCATTAAAGAGTTTAAAAACAAAAAGCAAACAGATGCCCCGGTCTGGTAGCTCGCACCAAGCCACTGCCTTTGTTTCTATACAAAACCCTAACCAGTAAAGCCCTTGATCTCTCAAAAACCCTAAATTCTCTTCTCAAACCAAAGCTTCAAAGAAGAGGTTCAATGGTTGAAACCAAGGACCCAGAAGAACTCACATTGCCTTCGAAGCGTAAACCCGATTTAAATTGCGAAGAGAACGAAAATCACCCAAACAAAACACAAAAGCTCCAAACACTGAACAACAATTCAGAAATTTCTGAAGACAAAACCCTAATACGAGATAAAGACTGTCTTAATTCAGATGCCCAAGTGAACGACAACGAAGACGAGGATGAAGAAGATGACGACGACGACGACGATGACGTGGAGGATAATGGAGAGGCTGTATTGGATAGAAAGGGAAAGGGGATTTTAATAGAAGAGGAAGATGATGAAAACGATGATGACGATGATGATTCGAGTGATGGCGGCACTCAATCAGACAGTGACAGTGACTTGTCTGATGATCCGTTGGCGGAGCTTGATTTGGACAATATACTTCCATCGAGAACGAGAAGGAAGGTAATTCAACCGGGGAAATATATTGCTAATGATCTTGGTAATGATGACGATGACAGTGACAGTGAAGATGAGGACGCGTGAGTTGCTGTAGGTTAGTTCAATTGAGTACAATTTAATAGAATCCAGATAGGTGGTATTAATATTTGGATGATAATGCGTTAGTTTTCGAGTATCCATGAGCAATGTGACAATGTTGTAATTGAAACTGGTCTTTCTTTCATGTTACAATTTTACATATCGTTAAAACCCTTGTTTTGCCGATCGTCTCTGAATGCATTTGTGTACAGTCGATCTCGTTGTTGGTGGTGTTATTATGTTTTTTGCTTATCTCTAAATGCATTTGTTGACTGCATAGAAGCTAAGCAGCCAAGGAAGATTATTGAAATTCAAAATGCAATCAAGAAACTTTAAGAAGCAAAAGATGCATTCGTCTCTGAAAATGGAATACCTAGTTGGAAAAAATAGGAAGTTCAACCTTTAAAGTATATGAAAACAAATTACTGAATTTAGATAATTCCCAATCTTAGTTATGTGAAGTTATCTTTTTCTGTGGTCAGATATTTCCACTTGTGCTTTAGCTTGACTTATAGAAGTAAATTTTTTTTCAATGTATCCATGCTGAAAAAATGAACACAATGGTCCTTCAATGGTTTAGCAAGTAATGGTGAAAAGTTGAGGTTCTGCTTATTTTTGCATGGTAGTGCTTTCACAGGAATACTAAAAACAGGGTTTGGACCGGATTAAAAGTGTGAGAGAGACGTTTTATTGTGTTCACAAGGGTATGGGACAGTTTGAGTTTCCCCTTTTTGTTTTCTAAAGAATTATTGTTGATTTTTTTCTTAAAAAGAAAATCTTTGAGGTTGCTTGCAAGTTTATTGCTTGTGGATCATGTATGTTGCTTAGGATTTTCTGTGCTTTCTTAAACTTTGGGAAGCTGGTTTGTTCTTTTCTTTGATTCCGGCAATGATGTAACTCACTTTGACATTACCGATCTTGTCTTACAACTCCCCAAGCATAAAACCTCAAGACTTGGATATTTGGTATTGAAAAAAAAAAAAAAACTCTTGTAATCAGTTTTCTGTGCCAGCTAGTGATGTGTAAACATTTGGTTTGTCTCAGGGGAAATTTTTTTTAGAACTTTTTCCTGTTTGCACGACGCTTCATTGGTTTATATGAGTAAGATTCAAGCCGTGTCAAGCATCCAGAATTTGTTGTTCTTAGAGGTGTTACTTAATGTATGTCACTGGAAATGTAAAAAAAGAAACTTAAGACGTGTCCTCTGCCCAATGCATGGACCTTCTATTGGGTTTATGGAATTCAACTTTTGTGCTGTTCTACCTTTCATAACCTCTGTGTCTGTGAGTTCTGCTTGTTGAACTTGATTTTCAAGCTACCTTTGGCTGGACTTCCAGCTGATAGGTGTAGAGCTGATGCCTCAGACAACTAGCAGACTTGAACCTCAATGTTCTAATATGTTCATATGATTTTTAGTTGCTAACTTATTAATATTACTTTTCTGATTTATGGAAAATTGTGCTAGATTTATGATGTTTCCACTATGTTCTCAGAGTTCAGGTTAGCATCATGCATAGTTTTTTGTTTTTGGAAAAAGAAATTCATAATGTTGTTTTCAATGTTTTTGTTCATTAATTTTAGGATTTAATAATTACTTTCTAGCTGTCTGAAGGAACAAATATGTTTTTGTGGTGCCTTATAACCTGTATGTAAGCTAACCACTTTATTTTCTTGTTTTTCAAAGGTCTGGACAAGAACTTTCCTAATAAAATTTAATTTGTGATGTATTTTGAAGTCTTAAATATCATAATGTTCAATGACTACCTTCCAGGTCATCTAGTCACATAAGTATCTAGCAATCATGATTGTTCTATATAAATCTGAGTTGGCACATAATTAGCTATATTTTGGTTAGGGCATCAGAGTTTTCAAATTAGTTTGAGCTACTGCTTTTTGTTGGCATCGTTTTTCTGTTGATTTGATTCACCTGTTTGAGTTGCCTGTTTAACATTGTGTTGAGGAATATTGAACAAATGTTTGCTCTTGCTTATAATATTCATATGATGTTATATTTAGTTTTCTTCTATGAAATTGAAAATTTCCATGGATAGGGTTGTAGTATTTTGGGGAATAATTTTTTTTTTCTTTTAATTTTTTCCCCGTGTTTGCAGTTTGCACCCTTATCCCATCCCACCTTCAAATGTAAGTCAAATCCCCCAACACCAATGTGAATGAAATTTGGTTTGGAGACTCTGGTCTAAAACAAATTGCAATTTAGGTAGCAAAATTGACAATCTGGAATCTTATTTTCTTGTTTCCATTTATCTATTGGTGTATCTTACAAGATTCTTGATGCTGTCATGACCTTCATGTTACTCTACATGAGGATAATGGTTCTGTTTGATATAATATATATTGGGCATTGGCAGCATTACACTTTGTATGTGTGGAATAACTCTTTATTAGCAAAGCCATTTCTATATTACTTGGTAGGCCTGGTTTAAAGTGCAATGTAAGGTTGTTCATAAGTGCTCAGACCTTGTTTGGTTAGTATAATTACACATACCTCATGTGGATGAAGCCTAAGGAGATAAGATGGATTCTAATTTCTTTTTTCTTTTATAGGTTGATGCAAATGTATAACTGCAGACTTGAATGCTACTGTTAGTAGTGCCATTGACAAATATTTAAGTTATAATTCTTTTCGTATTGGATGAGTTTATATTCGGATGAACACAGCTTTCTGGAAAGCTCTTACTGTGCTGCAGAGTTGTAGTTTCGTGCGAGCAGTGCATTTTCAATTTCTTTTTACAGTTTTGTGTTGGATGAATTTGGATGGCAACTACATTATGTTTTCCTGCAATGTAACGCATTGATCATGGCCAGACTTATGTAGCAGATGTTTGTTGCCAGCTTTTCTGACATTTGTTGACAGATTCAGCGTGCAAAATTATTCTAGTAGATTTTATTCTTTTCTGGTTATTTGGGCATTGGGCTAGCTTGGAACTCTGAAATGTGTTGTATTCATTGGTTTTTAAAGATCCGCTGTCATATAATATTTGCCACCTCAAATGCAAGTGAATCTTTATGAATTCCCAATTCATGGAATCAGCATCAATTATTTTACAGACGAGAAGTCATTTTGCTGCTTGTCCTTCGATGTTTAGAGCTGACAATTGGCCGACGCTTTAGCCAACCTATCATTGGTCTATTATGTAGCCTTAAAACATGCAAGGCCACGATGCTTAGACTATTCTTATTCCAAGGGCCAATGGTGTAAAGACAAGGTTAATATTTCATTCGGCCCGTCAATTGGGCCCTCCTACTGATTGAGATATCAATGGAGCTCATTTCTTGGCGCAATCCATTCTCATTTTGGGCTCTCTAGCAAGAGTGGTATGCTCGCTTTACTCATCAGCTCTATATAAAATTTGATAGAATTTTAGAGACAAAACATATAATTGATATGTGGTATATATGCTACCTCTCGCTGGATTCCTTTAGAAATGATTGAGATCTTTTTTTCTTTCTAATTCTGTCAAAAGTAAACCATGCTTTATCAGAAGACTTAAAACCTGAAGCTTCATCCATGAAACATCCCAAAACCCAAAGTGTGAGACTGGACCAGCTGACATGAGTACTATAGATATATATGCACATGAAGAAGATGGTTGGGTTTTGGGTTTATAAAAGGAGAGAAAGCTAACATCAACCGACCATTTTTTTGTGGTCCTTTTCTTCTTCTCGCCCCACTCTTCATTGCCTTATGTTGAATTTGGTCAGCTGCAAGTGCAAAGACAAAGAGAGAGAAAAAAAAAAAAAAAAATGTAATGGAACTTGGACCACCAAAAGACACGATCTAATGTTTCATTTCCCTTTCAATTTCAATTTCGCCCCAATCTAATCTCATTCCAAACCCAAAAACCAAGGACCACAATCCATTGCCATGCGCTATTATGCCAATTTCCGCATGCACCTTCAAATTTTTTATTCCCTCCATAATTGTATAATTAATCGCCCACTAATCACTTAAATTCAAGTGTTAAATTTCTAATTTGGGTTGGTTGGAGAAAGGAAGATGGTAATTTGATCGATCAATGAGGTTTGCTTTTTTCCTTAATTTTTTGGTTCAAACTTTATGATCATCTACTACACTAATATTATGACTATTTTTGGTTTTTTGAGCTTGTATTATTTATTAGACCTCTAAAATTAAACTGACATGTTTGTTTATAACTTTTTTGAGCTTATAAGCAAAAAAAAAAAAAAAGTTTGGGAGAGATACTTTTTCTTTTTTGCTTATAAGTACTCTGCTTATAAGCTAGTTTGACCTATATTACCACTTATCCTTGTTTTATTTTAAAATTTCATAGTATACCCTTATTTGTAGTACATTTTTTAGTATTTTATAAATAAATGTACTTAAAGCCTATTTTACCAAACACGTCAATTACTTATCAATCACTTATAAGTATTTTAATCAAACACGTAATTGCTTAAATTTCAAATGCTTATAAGCTAAAATTAACTTATAAGCACTTATTGTTTATAAGCTAATTTTCATAAGCTCAGACAAACACTATGTGTAAAGTGATCTCACCACCTTATATATATCTATATATCTATATATTATTGAAAGTTGTGAATTGGTAAGATAATGTTTTTAATTTTTAGATTAAAATAAGTTTATGTACTTCACATGGCAGCAATTGTTGCCAATGATGAGAGGGTGCATCAGAAAATGGAAATGATGATGAGCACACTTCCAAAAAATAAAAATAAATTTTCTTGCCTTTCAATTATTTTCTTCTCCTTGTAATTATATGCAAAGTGGGGCTATAATTATATTTGATTAGCTTAGCCCAACCTTTTGGCCTAACCACTTTCCACTCTTTTTGAATGCAAATTACAATCCTCTCATTGGATTCAAACTTTTTTTTTTAAATCATGCTCCAATTAACGTCATCTCTTACTACGTATTTTGTTAGTTTAGTAGTTTATTTGTGCAGTGCCAGACAAAACTTTGCCACCCTACTACTCCTTTCTCAACTTGATTTATTTATTTTAATTAACCCATTTATGTACCACAAGTTCTCCCATTCTTCATGTTAAAACCCAGAATTTACTGAACCATAAAACAAAAAAAAAAGGTTAATCTCCTATTGTTGAATGATTAATTAAAGATTTGTGATATCTTAAACATATCACACCAAACCTCTTTTCTTATTTGATTGTACGAAAATTAGTTAACAATGATTTAAGAATGTCTAATCACGAGGAACCAACTCAACATTATAGACAAAACATAGGAGATAATTAGTTGAAATATATATACAAACAGTTAGGATTTTCCTAAAGTTTCAACCAACAAATGATTCAATGGTATTCCAATTCTAAAACTAAATAAAACTCATGTCAAGTATTGGTCAAAATATAATCTCGGTAAATATAAGAGTGGGGTTTAGGGTATGGTGATAGTGGGTTTTGTAAACTGTAGATAAATTTCTGTCAACATTATTCATTTTTATTTTATTTTTTTACTGTTAGACGGCTCAGTTGGAGACAAAAATGGAGGGAAAAAAAAAAAAGAAGAAGCTTATCCCTTCAAGCTTGGGGTTTCACACCAGCTATAAAATTTTAATTGGGAAAGGAAGATAGTGAACATGGGTAGCTCAGCTGGTATATACAGCTCCGATGAGGTGGTGGGTGTGACCCACGTTAGCCCCCAATTGAATAATAATAATATCTAACAAAGAAAGAAACGAATCATCAATCAATATAGAAAAAATAAAAATATTGCCCCACCATCACATGGCTACCGATCATCCTTTCTCCTTAGTGGCCCACTTTATAAAATTTTAAAAATTATATTCAACTGAGTAGGTGAAATTTGGAAATACCTGAGCCACACACCCACTAAAAATCTTCCGCATGTCATACACCACTATGTATATATTTGACTGAACGTCTGCCTCTACATTTTCAACAAGGGCCAATAGGGCTACGGCATGCAGCTTTGCCTGCGTTATATATATATATCCTCTTCAATAATAAACAAATTAATCTTCAAGAATATATATATATATATATATGAAAGATGAACATTAATTTGGAGAAGATCAAGAATAAAAGATATGTTATGATGAGAAGTTGGGTTGAGAGGACTAATGATTTCAGTCCTTTTATCATTTAGGATCTGCAATATTTGGGTGATTGATGAACTTGTTATGTTATGTTCCCATCCTCAGCTGCTTCCCTTTGCACTAATGTTCCCACTCATTCCAAATCAAATTCCTAGCTTATGTTATGCATGTTCAATCATTTCTACTCTTTTATTCGATAATATATTGGAATTAATAGTTATAAGAAAATATAATGGAAATGGAGGGGAGTAGTGGCCATTGATTTTTAAGATTGGGTGATGAGAATTGAGCTGCAAGTGGATAAAAACATTAGATGTGAATTGTGGTATTAAAGCAAAGCAAGAAGTGGGACACTAAACATAATTGATGTAAATAGCTTAACAAAATGACAAAACTCTTATTAATATTTTGGAATATGTCACCCTTAATTAAAAGAGAGAATCCCAGATAACATGCTTTATCCCTTAAAATTTTTTTCTAAGTGTCCAAACATTAGCTTCCCGCCCCCCATTCAGAAGAATTGCAGTAAGAACAGAGAGGGAGGGAGGAGTCAGCTGTGACCTAAAAATACCAAAAGTGTACGTCTCTTTAGATGGGTTTAAAATCATATAATCCAAAGAATTAGGAGTAAACTTGAGGGTTAAGGGGAGAAGTAATTCTGATTCCCACTAAAAAAGATAAGATTTTGACTTAAAGGAAGCAGGAGGAACAGGCAGCCGTATATTCCTACAAAGTAATGGAGATTAAATAAAGTGGAGAATTGAATTTGATGGTGAGGCTATTAAGTCAAAAGTGATGAATGATTGGAACCAAACAATCCATTTCTTTGCTTCAATTATGCTTATAACAAGCATATATAGTACAATCACTTTTCTTTTTAACAATATAAATTATTAAATCTAATATTGGTAACATATTGTTGAATACAATAAAGATCATTTGACAAATCAAATATAGTATTATTAAATTTTGGTTAGTACAACACGGAAGAAGCTAGCAATTCCCTTGAAAAAACAAACCTAAATCCGATTTAAGTTGCTTTCAGGAATAACCAAACACGTAATAAATCTTGTTACTGTACCATCTTTATTAATGGAAATCCATCTTTAATATTAGACGCACATTTGAAGCAGTGTTAGATTTTGTCAAAAAAACATTTTACTTAATATTAAATTATTTAATACGTAAATAAATACTATACGTACAGTAAGTAAAGGAAGCAAGATAACTTAACAGGTGGCAAAATAAAAAAGTAAATTTTCTGACGATCAAAAGTTGTTCATCTGCAGACGAAACTTCAGCTCCATTCCCCTTATTGAGAGTACAATTTTATTATACTCGCTCTCCATGATAATTATCTTTCACATATAGGACCTTAAACATCCCCCCACATGGACGTGTCTTCGTCAGAGTCCGCGAGTTGAACATACTCGCGCCACTACAAACACAAGAATCTTATCTTCTTCGTGGCATTATCGTGATTTTGAGAAGAATGAGTGTCATTTATCTGACAGGCCATTACTGTTCGCTTTAGTAAGACTTTAGCAGAGAGAAAGGTCTCTCTTCGAAACCAGAGATAATGACACATGCATGATACCCCACTCAACGGTCAAGAGTCCCTCAATCTTTCCATCAAAACAAAACGGACCGTCGGATACAAAACCTGGGTTACTTGACTCGACCATGGTTAAATGAATGACCCTGGTTAATTACCTAAACACCGAAAAAAAAAAAAAAAAAAAACAGAGAGCTTTGAGTTGAGCTTCACTGAGTTAAAACTCTTGAAACAAAGTTAACAAACGCAGCAAACTCTTCCTTGTCTTTGTGTTGTGTTTTAGTTTTCCCTGTATAGGTTTTCTTTTTCTTCCCCTTGATAATTCTACTATTTTATCATTAGATTTTCGATGTAATTAACATTTTCCATTTATGGAAACGTTTGATCTTTCTCAGATCTATGAATTTCATCTGTTTTTCAACGTTTTTTCATCGTTGTAATCATTTTGAAGATGATCACTGAAGGGAAAAAGAAACTAATTTTTTCCTTTACTTTCTCTCTCAACTACCACCTTTTTTTTCTCGAGAAAATTCGAGTCTTTCACTCTTTTATCTTTAGATCATGATAATCTCAAAGTACAGAAGATGGAAAACAATCCCATTGGTTTTTGTAATCATTTTCTAATCTCCCTGTGCTGAGCAGTTTTAGATCTTTAGATCTGGTCTCAATTATTGAAGATTTTAGATAACTTAGGAAGATTCCCGCAGAATTAGATCTGGGTTTTATTTAGCAAAGCCTTGTCATCCTTTTTTTAAATTTTCTCGGTAAAGTTGTTATTTTTCCGCGATAAAAGTTGTTTTTCTGGGAAAAAAAAGGGTTGGGGAGTTAGGGGTTGAATGCTGAAAAAGAGATGAATTATTTTCCAGACGAGGTTATAGAACACGTGTTCGATTTTATAACATCACATAAGGACCGAAACGCGGTGTCGTTAGTGTGCAAATCATGGTACAAAATCGAAAGAATGAGCAGACAAAGAGTGTTCATCGGAAACTGTTATGCGATCAGTCCGGAGGGAGTGATTGCCAGGTTTCCGGAGCTCAAGTCCTTGACGTTGAAGGGTAAGCCGCATTTTGCGGACTTCAACTTGGTCCCACATGATTGGGGCGGGATTCTTTACCCTTGGATCGAAGCTTTTGCCAAGAGTAGAGTCGGCTTGGAGGAGTTGAGGTTGAAGAGGATGGTGGTTTCTGACGAGAGTCTCGAGTTGCTCTCGAAGTCGTTCGTGAATTTCAAGGCCTTGGTTCTTGTTAGCTGTGAAGGCTTCTCCACTGATGGGTTGGCTGCTGTAGCTGCCAATTGTAGGTAAGAAAAATTAAAAATTTTCACTTTGTTTATATTTGATTGTGCTTCTTTTGTGCGGTTACTTTTGGATTTCTTTTATGTGATTTGAGTTTGGTGTGAATTTGTGACTCTGAAATGGTTAATATATGGGTTTGTTTCACATTCACATTTATCTTGTTGTAAAGTTAGATTTATGCTTTAGTTATAGTTATCGTTTATCTGGATTCTTGGTTGTGGTGATTGAAAAGCCCTCTGGTTTGATTGAGCTACAGGAAGTAAACGAGGTTGTTATTTCTATAGCATCTCATACTCTATTTTCGATGTTATCTGTGATTGTTGAACAATTGTTCACATGGCTAGTTGTTAACGTGAAAGTTATATTTACTTGAAATTGGTGGAGATTTGTAAGTGATGCTGATCAGTTTTTTATTATTTTAGCTTCTTAACTATGTATTTACTTTTCGGTGATCTTCAGGGTGTTTAAGCTTGAATTGAGCAAGCTACTCTGCTATTTTAAATCTGGGAAAAACTTGTTTTTAGTGTCTAATCAGACCACAACTTTTTATTGTGTACTGATCAATATATTGTTTACTTGGATGGACTATTTCCACGTAAGCTCCTCAATATAAGTCTGCTGGTAAACATAAAGTATAGGGTTTGCCTAATTATTTTTTTCTATTATCTGCATTCTAGGTTTCTTAGGGAGCTGGACTTGCAAGAAAATGAAGTAGAGGATCATAGAGGCCATTGGATTAGCCGCTTTCCTGAAAGTTGTACTTCTCTTGTCTCCCTGAACTTAGCATGCCTCAAAGGAGAAATAAATTTGTCGGCTCTTGAGAGACTTGTAGCAAGGTCTCCTAATCTCAAAAGTTTGAGGTTAAGCCGGGCTGTGCCTCTTGATGTGCTCCAAAAGATACTGATGCGAGCTCCTCAACTAGTGGACTTGGGTACTGGGTCCTTTGTACACGATCCAGCTTCTGATGCCTACAACAAATTAAAGGCTACCATTCTGAAGTGCAAGTCAATAAAGAGTTTGTCGGGTTTTTTGGAGGTTGCTCCTCGCTGCCTGTCAGCTATTCACCCAGTTTGTCATAATCTAACCTCCTTGAATCTGAGCTATGCCCCCGGCATTCATGGAAATGAGCTGATAAAGCTTATTCAGCACTGCAGGAAACTTGAGCGATTATGGGTATGATCTTCTAACCTATTCACACTTGAGTTACTGAATATAAAATTCTGATCAAAATGAGATGAATGATAATAACTTCTATAATCTCTGCAGATACTGGATTGTATTGGAGATAAAGGATTGGGAATTGTAGCTTCAACTTGTAAAGAGTTGCAAGAATTGAGGGTTTTCCCATCTGATCCCTATGGGGTAGGCAATGCTGCTGTAACTGAGGAAGGTCTAGTTGCCATATCTGCCGGTTGCCCAAAGCTTCATTCATTGTTGTACTTCTGCCAGCAGATGACTAATGCTGCTCTTATAACTGTGGCAAAGAATTGTTCTAATTTTACCCGCTTCAGATTGTGCATCCTTGACCCTATAAGACCTGACCCTGTCACCATGCAGCCCTTAGATGAAGGTTTTGGGGCAATTGTTCAATCTTGCAAGCGCCTAAGGCGTTTATCACTCTCTGGCCTGTTAACTGACCGGGTTTTCCTTTACATTGGAATGTATGCTGAGCAGCTGGAAATGCTTTCTATTGCATTTGCTGGGGACAGTGACAAGGGAATGCTCTATGTCTTGAATGGGTGTAAGAAGCTTCGCAAGCTAGAAATCAGGGACAGCCCCTTTGGTGACACCGCACTTCTAATGGACGTGGGAAAGTATGAGACAATGCGATCCCTTTGGATGTCGTCCTGTGAAGTTACCCTTGGAGGCTGCAAGACACTTGCGAAGAATAGGCCAATGCTCAATGTGGAGATCATAAACGAAGATGATCAGATTGATTTTAGCTCTGATGATAGACAAAAAGTAGGGAAGATGTACTTGTATCGAACATTGGTCGGGCCAAGGAAAGATGCACCAGAGTTTGTGTGGACTTTGTAAGTTCGACCTCAATGCATCTGTGTAGGTCGGCCAATTGTTTCCTTGTTCTTCAGTAGTTTTACTTTTCTTAGGCCAGCTCATTTTTATGGATTTAGTTGTATGCACTCTTTTGTTTAATTTATGAGAGATTTGCTACTTGTAATCGTTGTTACTATAATAGATTTGTGTTAGCATTGGCAAAATTAGTTTCCAGTTAAAAGTATCATCCATATTGGTTTCGGTGGTTCTTGTTTAAGGGGAGAAATTTATGTCTCTATAGATTGTGGGCAACTGATTACAGGTAAATCTCTTACATGGGCTGCCATGACTTACTAATTATTGAACACAACATAAAAACAGTAATGGGATAGCATTTATTGCGAGGTAGGCACTACTGGCTTTATGTTGTTTGCTTGTTTATGCAGCAAAGCAGAGTAATTTTTAGCTACATTCATTACCATTGCGTGTTGCTTTAATGGAGTCAACGAAGTTGCTGTTTGAAACTTTAAATATCTTTTATCTTCATAATTTGTTGATAGGTCAAGACGTTGGGTTGGTACTGATCTCGTCAAACAACATAATGGCAACTCTTCAAAGGTAAATGATAGGTTTGGGCGTGGCTCCATTTAATCACCAAAGTTATGTGGTTGATAAATGATATTTGATACTAAGATATATATTCTTGGACTAGCGAGGGTGGGCAAATTATTAATTAACAAATCCATACTTGCGACATATCTTTTTAAAGTTTCTGACAATGGCCGGTCAAGAAAAAAACCAGAAGAGTCAAGGCTGGTCAAAGAACCCAGTACCTTCTGGATGGAATTGCCACAACATTGGGGTTCTTAGCAAGAATTACTGCACTAGGATAATTGGCTATGAGGATTTGAAAGGCACTATGGCATGAAGTTTTCCAAGGTTTAGCCAAGCCTTACCTCAGGGGCCCAACCATTCGTATTTGGTTTGGTATTGCTAAGCATACTCATAGACGTCACTGATAATTTTATCTTTATTTTTATTTCACAGATTAGTTATGGAGCTTGAATACTTTAATGAAATTTTAGGGGCAAAGCTGTCATTAAACAGGAGAGATTTCACAGAGTAAGAAAATAAAGCTGTATTTATAAACAGATCCTGTTACAAGTTCAAAAAAAATACTATCAAATTAATCTGGGCATACATGGAATTATTACAGGTATAAAACAAGGAAACAGAATGACTAGATTCCACATTCATGAGCCATAATGGAGAACTGACCAAAGCAGGTTTTACTAAAGAAGCAACAAATGTAGCGAAACCAGAAGCATAAAAGGAGCAATCGTCCTTAATGCAACCATTATAGAAAGAAGCAGCATTCCTCCATCATACAACACAACAGCGCAGCCAACGCAATGCAAACAAATTAGAGAGTAGTTGAGATTCGAGACATCAAAATACAAAAACAGTACATAGTTGGTGACACAGTTAAGAATTGAGCATACAGATGTAATAGATCCCTGCCCATGAAAAGTTGTGATTTCGCAACACCGTGCCAAAGTTTAAGTAAATTGTAGCCCAACATTCATATAGAAGCAAATCCTAGTAGTAAAGATCTAAAGCCAGCAGTACACGTTCCTCAGGAATTTCAACCAGCATAATTATTTCAGTTTCTTATAAGAAAGATAAACTGCGAATTTAGCAACCCTAACAAACATCTAATCTTGGGTGAACTTTTGTATCTCTCCAAATGAACCAACTAATATATAAAGAATAACACCCTCTTAACTCAATTGATTACAATCAAATAGGAAGAACAATTCCCAGATGCATTTGCACCGGAAATAGGTATATGAAGATCTCACATGAAATAGAGGCGCATGACAATACAAACAAACAAGAGTGCCAAAAAAAGCAATATTTAAACATAATTGTCATCCTAATCTAAATAACCAAGGAGTGCCAAATAAACCAGTTCTTAAACAAACCTCCTTCAGTCTAAGGAGTGGGAATCAAAAAATAATTCCTGAGAGAACTCCTTCAATAGTGTGAAGACAAAGCAATGGAACTAGAATACCTTCACCCACTGACTGTGAACTGAACACGTCCTTAGTTTCTTACTTCTCCTCCTGGATTGACATGACTAGGTAGAAGTATCCACTAAACTATACTCACCTCTCCCACATAACAACGTTTTAACTCTTTTATGTTCATCAAGAAGGAAAAGAAATATTCCATCTTCGTCGATAATCCCCAATTACCTCTTGATGTAAAAAACATAGTTTTAATCGAAAATGATCAACACTGTCATCGAGCATATTTGTTGACAATAATTATAAAATATAACCTCATACAGGACCAAAATTTTACCTACCCAATTCACTCAAACTTAATATAAACATGGCAAATCATCCCTAACAAACTACATCATAGATAAGAAACACAAAAGTTATCCAATGAAGGCGTTTCTTATAGCTATATATTAACAAATATACTCAAGAAACCAAATACAACTGGCAGATGTTACATGGAAGCATTATCCATAGTCCTTGCCTAATATACTGATGTGTCACTTTTGAGAGCTAAATACATTAAACTTTTCATCATTCAACTTTTAAATCTTCATAAGAAAACACTTCAAGAAATTAATAGCAGAATCCATGATTAAACATTCACAAACACACCCATCCATGTCAACAAATATATCCACCCAGAGACGCCAGGAATAGCCACATCAATCAGAGAGTAGATACATAGTGATCACCAAACCAACCCTAATGTAACGAAGAAACTGAAACAATGATTTTTCTTTTTGAACTCTAAAATTTAAACGAAATGGAAGTCCAAAATTTTAATGAAAAAAATCGATATGAATAAATCATAAATCAAGTGACTTCACAAAGAGAAAAAGTGTGAAACACATTTTAGTATGTTCATTTTTCCATGTACTATACTAAGAGCTTAATTACATGAATCCCAATAATAAAAGAAAGAAAAATATAGACATACCAGCCTTGTAGAAAGGAAGTACAACCAGTATCATTGTTCTGGTAATGATAGTGCTCGTAGTAATACTGTGGTTGACCAGGACGAGGTGGCGGTGGAGGATACCCTTCAGCAAGATACCCTTGGTACCCTTCGTATGGACGTTGCCCTGGCGGAGGGTAAGGAAACCCAGGTGGCGGTGGCGGTGGCGGTGGCGGTGGCGGGTACCCCTCGTACGGCGGTGGTGGCGGCGGTGGGTACCCAGGTGGTGGTGGCGGCGGTGGGTACCCAGGTGGTGGTGGATAGGGAGCTGAATAGCCTATTAAAAAAAAATTAGAATCAACAATTAAATTTCATATCATAAGATCATCCAATGGGATGATAAATAAAAGGAGAAAAAAAAAAAAAAAAAGAACCTGGAGAAGCGTAGGGGTCGTTGGGAGGTCTGTGGTAACTCATATTGAAGAGTTTTGTGAATTGATAAGATTGATTGGAGTTTGAAACTGGAATTGGAACAGTTGCTGATAATTTTGGTAGTTTAGAAGATTTAGAAATCGACTGACGGCTAAGTGCCAAGCTGTCTACAATCAGGTTTTGCCATGTCATCGTAATCTTTTATTATCTTTGCCGTAATTACTATTTAAAATGTTTATTTATTTAAGATCTGGATTTCTGTTTATTTATTAGACAATGAATACTCTCAAACAGTATACTGGGCTTAGGCAAATTAGCCCAGTATATATTACTGGCCCATTTCTAGTATAAATGGGCTTAGGCAAATTAGCTTAGACTTAATTATTATATTATAAAGAATAATGTTACCTTTACGTCACTTTTCTACACCACTCTCTTATATATCATGACGTGATAGTGCCACCTCATCTGCCACATCAGCCAACTAACACTCACCCAACCAAAAAAAAAAAAAAAAAAAAAAAAGGTTCTCTGAAAAAATTCAAATTCCATTCCCCCTGAATAGAGGTGGAACAAATGAACCGTGTTAGGCGGATCAACACTAACCCGACCCATAACGAATCGGGTTGAACCCGACAGTAACCCCCGGGCAGGCCGGGTTGCAAAATAGCAACCCGTAACCCGACGGGGTTGCTATTTTGTCTCTTTTAAAAGAGACCCACCAACTCGCCGGGTTGGCTGTTGTCAACCCAGCGGGTTGGCCAAAAAAAAAATAAAAAATAAAAATTTAATTTTTTTTTCAAATTACCCCTTTACCCTTGAAATATAGTCGTTGGAGGGGTCTTTTTCGTCATTTTTCTTTCCCTTTTTTTTCTATAAACTGGCCTCAAACTCTCACATTTTTCTCACAACTCAAATTCTCTCATTCTCTCATATTCTCTAATCTCTCAATTATTCATTTATTCTCTTTGTTATCAATTTGCTCGTATTTTAATTTTTATTAGTTTTTGCAATTTTTAATTCATATTTCCAATTTTCCAAATTCCAAATTCCAAATTCCAAATTCCAATTTCCATATTCCAATTCTCTTTCTTTAATTTTTATTTCTTCTACATCAATTTTTTTTTCAACTACAATGGCTAGATATTTCTCTCTCATCAATTACAATGATGAAGGAAACTACTATCCTAGTCCTAGTCCCACTGATTTTACTAACATAAGTGCAGAAGGAGATTCAAATAGTCCCGCTTTCCCATTCTCAGAATCTGATACACCTCAAAATATGCCCCCGATTCCAACAGCTCTCGATGGTTCTAGAAGTCGTCCTTGTAATCGTCGTGCTCGTCCAACTTCATCTCAAGCTGAGGCGGGATCATCAACTGCCGTCGAAAGCGAAGACAGACACACATCAGACTTTTGGGCACATTTCGACAAGTTTTACGAGACAGAAAATGACTTTCAAGTCAAGAAAACGAGATGCAAATACTGTGGAAATATTTATAAAGCTGTTTCAGGTAATGGTACTAATACTTTAAAAAGGCATGCTAATAAACATATTAATCAACATGGAAATAGAGAAAGCAATCAAACTCAAATAACTAATATGAGTACTAATTGGCGTTATAATTCTGATATATATATGGAACAGTTAGCTTTATATATTGCTGCAACTGATCAACCTATTAATATGGCTGAAGATAAATATTTTGAAAGATTTGTTCAAAATCATTTTTTCCAGGATTTAAAAGTTATTCTAAAACCGCAACTAGAAATGATTTAATAAAATTGTTTAAAAAAATGAAATTAGAATTAAAAAATAAAATACATACTTGTCATGTTAGTGTGGCTCTAACTGCTGATATTTGGAGTGGTAGAGTTAAACAAAATTATATTTGTGTGACTAGTCATTATTTTGATAATGAATGTAAATTAAATAAATCTTTATTAGGATTTAGATTAATGGATGTTGATCATAGTGGTGAACAAATTTATAATAAAATTGTTGAAGTTTTAGAAGATTATGATGTTGTTAGTAAAGTGATAAGTTTAACTTTAGATAATGCAAGTTCTAATAGTAAAGTTATAGATTATTTTCAAAGTAATTATCCTTTATATAACAATTTGAAGTTTTTTTTACAATGTTGTACATGCCAGTATTATATTTAATTGCGAAAAGTGGTAAGAAAACAATTAAAGAAAATATTAATAGAATTCGAGATTGTTTAGCTTGGATTACTAGTAGTAATAAAAAAAAATGCTGAATTTCAAGACGCTGTATAAAATCAATATGTCTCCTAGAACTTTGCATTAGACATGCCTGTTAGATGGAATGTACTATTAATGCTTGATTCATGTTTACCTTATGCTAATATAATTAGTATTTTGTAGCAAATAATAGAGGTCCTCATTATTTGGTAAAATGATTGTCAAATAGCTAAGTATTTCATTATTTTCTTAAAACTTTTTACCAATCCACTTTCAACTTTCTGGTGTGTATCATATTAGTCCATTGGTAATAATCATAAATATAAAAATTTCCGAGTTATTTATAAAAAACAAAGACAATGTAATTTTAAATGCACCAATAAAGGCAATGAATTTTTTTTAAAAAATATTGGAAACTCTTTTTTTTTTATATTTAGGTGCTAATTTGATCCTAGAATTAAATTAGCAGGTTTAGAAAATGGTTTTGACAATTTATGTGAAAATTTACAAACTGAAGATATGCCAACTAAATAGGAGAGGTAAAAATACACTTTTCGAAGTATATTTCCAGTATGAAAACAGGTATGGGAACCCGCAAAGAGGCGAAACATCCAAGGAAGCTGCATCAGAAGAAACAAATGGAGACTTTACTCTTGGAGTGAATAGGCCGAAGAGGACCCGAATCCGAAGCACATCCTCTTCTTCAGAAGCTCACCAACAACAACAAACTAATGTACTGTCTTCCATGTAGTCGTAGAGTAATGAGCTTAACAATATTTGGTAACCCCTGAAATGGTACCAGTAGATCCACAACAGAGAGCTAACATTGATCTCTTAGACTATTGGAGAGCCAGAAAATGTATTTTCTGGTATTATCAAGACTTGCCTTGGATGTTTTGCTGTTCCTGTCTCAACCGTCTCATTCGAATAAACATTTAGTGCAAGTGAAAGAATTTTAAATGAAAGAAGGACTAAACTTTTACAACAAATAATGAAGTCCTCACATGTCTTCGAGATTGGGAACAGTGCGCCATCAAGGTCAATATGAGGTTGTCGACGATACTTTAATATAATCATTAATTTGTAATATAGATGATACATGAGAGAGGTCATAGTGAACCCCAAAATGAGGTGTTTTGTAAATTGTAACGTGTAAATTAATTGTCAATTATTGCACTCTTTTTTCCTTACCAAGTTTTTGTCCTATTGGGTTTTTCTTAGTGAGGTTTTTAACGAGGCAATAGTTATTGTAATTTCTTATTTTATTTTTTAATAAATGAATAAATTTAATTATTCTTATATTACAATTTTAATGTATTAAAATTGAATTAATATTTGGAATCTTAACAAAAAAAAATTTAATTTAATTTAATTATTGATATTCGAAAAGAAATCAACAATTAACTAAAAACAATTACATTTATTCATTTATAAATTGTTGATTATTCATTTGAAAAGTTAATTAGGCGTTTAAACTTAAACAAAATAAAACAAAACAAAATAAAAAAAAAATAAAAAAGAGGGTTAACCCGGCCCAACTCGTGGCCTAACCCGACGGGTTAGGGTTGGTGGTCCGGGTTGGGCCAGCCAATTCCCTAACATTGGCGGGCTTAACCCGGCCTGTCAATGTTACCGGGTGGGTTAGGACCGACCCGCCACTAACAGCAACCCACCGTGGGTCGGGTCGGATCGGACGGGTTGCTTTTCCACCTCTAGCCAAATCTGATGTCTTTCCAAATTATTTTCCCTAAATTCAAACTCTCTCCTTCCCCTAAATAAAAAATCTCTGCCAAAATTGAAATTTCTCTCCTTCCCCTAAATCAAATCTCTCCCAAAATCAAATTTGAACCGCCGTTGTCTGTCATCTACCACCACCACCACCGGCTATCGTCTACCAAAAAAACTTCGGTTCTCTTCAACTCACCCAAAAAGCCAAAACACAAACAAAACCAAAAACATTTCCTTCCGATTCTCTCAAGTTTCCTTCCATGGCTTTCACCAACTCTCTCTTCTCTTCTTCAACTCTTCCTCTAACTCCACTCACCGATTCCGATTTCTCCCCTCTAATTTCTCACGACTCATTCATCTCAATTTCAGTGGCAATTTCCCTCCGATTTCTCACAATTTCTCTCAACAATGGCTTCTCCACGCAAGAAAACAGTAATCAAATTCTTCTTTGTTTCGTTTGATGAAAAATTGAAAATAATCGTGTTAATGTGTGCGATTTGTGTTTGTTTTCTTGATCGTTCTATAACTTTTTTTTGGTTGTATTTTGATTATGAAAGAAACACGTTGAGGCTTGGTTCAATTACGACATATTTAGTCGATTGGAAGGGGAAGGTTTTTGATAAATACATGAAATTTGGAGAGGTTTATGATAAGTCTTCAAGGAAATTTATTTGAGAAGAAGGGAGTAGCAAATTGAGTTTTATGTCCTAATAGATGTTGTAAAGCTTGAGTTAGCTATCGTAAATTTATGTGTATTCATAGATAAGAGTCATAAGACCATCACTTAGCTGAACCATATACAAAATTACTATCTGTTTGGTGATTGGGAAAACTAGAGAGGAGAAAAAGAACTGACTTGTTGAGATTAATGTTTTTAGTGTTTGAGTCAACTTTCAGCTGTACAAGATTTGTATGCATTCAAGTTGCTTCCTTATTTATTTATTGGGTTGGTACTCAAAATTATACAGTATCAAAATATTTTATAAAGAAAATTATTTATGGTGCCTTCTCAAATTTTCTTTGGACATCAAACAATGAGTTGAATATGTTTGTATTTTGTGCCTTAAAAATGTTTTTAGGGGAGAACATTTTAGAGTGTAAATCAAAATTTCATAAAATCAAGTAGTTGTAATGATTGTCCTTTTGTGGTTCAATGATTTATTGAAGTGTTGTGTAGGAAGCCAGGAACATTCTATATGCTACCAGTGATCGTACAAATGCAGTTAGTTCAACCCATTGGTCAGTAACATGTTCCTGCCTTCCAATTCTTAGTTATTTTTTTTAAATGTTATGAACAATAAACTATTAAGGGAAAATTTGATGTGATAATACGGAGACACCCTTTTAATAGAAGGAACTTGATATCTTATTTTTTGTGCTTTTCTTTTTACTTCATCATCATGTATAAAGTTTCTGGAATTTGGTAGTTATATGGTTTATCATTAATAGCTATAAGAAGAGTGTTTTAATAGACTCCATTATTTTGCAAACCGTATTAACTTGGCGGACAAATTTAATTGCAGAAGTCAGAAAGAAAAGAAAGAGGAAGAGAGAAAGAAAATCTGAAGAAGAAAGAAGACAAAGAAAGTATGCTATGATGATATCTTTATGATTTCTTCTACTTTGGAAGTGTTTGTGTTTATATTGGTCCAATTCATACAAATTTAGCTATTCCAATTAAAAGAGGTATTGGCTTAAAGGCTCTCCTATTTTTAACCTACTACAATTAGAGTGTGACAATTTCTCACTTTAATTTGTTCTTCCTACATTTCTGACTTTCGTTATTCTTTATTCTCTGTGTTTAAGTATAAAGAACTGCTATTCTTTGTTCTCTGTCTTTAAGTTTAAAGAACTATAGAATTGTGTTTGGTCTGTCTGGATATATATTTGACTTGATTTCTGGATACCCAAGCATGTGGGATTTCATGTTGTAGTTTCTGCAATTTCTGGGAGAGACTTGCGTTTTTTGCAGGTTATGCAGATTTCATGTTTCTGTAGTGTCTGGGAGAGTGCTTTTTTTTTGCCAGAAGTTGGCTGGAGTGATGCTGGTGCTTGTTGAGTTTGCTGGAAGTGATGTTGGTAGTGATGCTGGAAGTTTGCTGCCCTACTTCTGGTGTGATTCTGGGACATTTTTCTGCAGATTTTTGTTGCTGCAGTGTTGTGTTTGCTGTAGTGTTTTGCCTGCTGGTTGTTAAGTTTTGTTTAATTGATTGTTGTCTTCAAATGGACAGGTTTTGTTTTGTTTTTGTTAATTTTATATTACATTCAATCAGATGTACTACACAACAATCTGCTATTTTGAATATATTATTTGATACATGATAAATAGACAATAGGTATTTGTAGCTTCCTCTTATTATCTTTGTTTTATGTTTGTTTTAGAACTCATTCACTCTAATCTCAAATGTAGATACATAGTACTGTTTGTCAAAGGTGGCTTGATGGTGATGAGTTTATTATAACGTCAATGAAGGAAGTTGCAATAATATTCACAATTTTCGCAATAATAAACAAAAAAAAAAAAAAAAAAAAAAAATTTAAATTAACTTCTGACTGCTATTCATAAGCAATTAATCAAAATAGAAGAAATCAACCTTCAAAATATTCGCAATAATGAACAAAAAAATCGCTATTCCTAAGCAATTAATCAAAATATGAGAAATAAACAAACATCAAACATGTACACATTCATTCAGGTTCCTTTTCACAATTTTCTCACCCTCCCTGTCTCTCCTTCAATAATCAGATACAACACCTCCTAAATCACAAATCATCCAATAAAAAAAAAAAAAAACTTAAAAAAGAAAAACTAAAACGTTTATACTATCATTAAAATATTTATTACAACAATTATCACAATTTTTCATTTTGATTGCTTCAAAGCCTCAAGAAACGCTTCCTTGAGCAAAGGGTTCGAACTGCAAGTTACTGAGCATTGATGTCAAAATCTTTACCACACCTGATGAAAAAGAGCAACCATCAAACTCTAAACATATGGATAATATTTGAGCATATTTAGTGGAAGTCTTTACAATTCACAGAGCAAAAAAATTGCTAGAATGCAGTTCAAAATAGTTAAATAATTTGGAAGTGCCATATGACAAAGATAAATGCAAGATGTAGAACTTTTATCCAACCAAAAGAAAATGTATAATTATACACAAAACATAATGAATCTAATACGCCACAAAAGAACTCAACGATAAATGCAGTTGAATCTTCATTATAGAATATGAAGGTATTAAGGTAGCCAATCTTACATTGGCAATGGTAACACCACCTCTCTTTGGTTTGATAACTGGCACCCGAGCGGCCCCCTTGTTTGCATCTATGGGGAAAGGATTATTTGTGATGTAGGGACTACTAAGGATGCTAAAGTGAGTTTTGTGATTGATGGATGCAATTGGAAGTGGCCAAGTGCCAATTCTTGGGCTCTTATTAACATGAGGAATTCTGTGAATTTCACACTTTTTAATGTTGATGACAAGATTTGTTGGATACCCTCACCTTCGGGGGATTTCTCTACCAAATCGGCTTGGGAGGCTATTAGAGGAAGAAGAGCAGAAGTTGAGTGGTGTGACTTGGTGTGGTTCTCAAAGGCTATCCCAAGATACTCTATGATCATATGGATGGCTATAAAGGAGAGATTACCTACAAAGGAAAGGTTGATGAGGTATGGGGCTACTATTAATTCTCATTGTTGCTTTTGTAACTCATCTTTGTAATCTCTTGACCACTTATTTTTTGCATGCCCTTTTTCTAAGTCTATTTGGAGCAAGATCCTTATGCTTGTTGACCTTAGCTATGTGGTTAGACCCTGACATGATTACATCCCCCATTTGGCAAGGAAATGGAAAGGTAAGAGTCTAAAATTCACTTTGGGTAGGTTTTGTTTAGGGGCTATGGTTTATTGGATTTGGAGGGAGTGGAATTTGTGAATTTTTAGGGGTGACTATAAGGATTCCTTTACCATAATTGATGCTATCAAATGTGTTGTGAGAGACAAAGCTAAGCCCTTTGGGCTTTACGTACGGAGTTCTAACGTTCATCCCATTCCATGAATTCATCCATTAGACATCCTATATTAGTCCAAGCTGAAGGGCTCTGAATGAGCTTTCCAACGATATCTTACAGGCCCCGTAACTCATCCCAGATAAAAAGTTATGGCCGTCTGAATGAGACATGCTCATTTAAGCCTTTTGGGCTTTACGCACAGACTTCTGACGTTTGGCCCGCTCCATGAATTAGACCGCTAGATGTTCTACATCAGTCCACATCGATGAGCTTTTGATGGGCTCTGAATGAGCTTTCCAATGGTATCTTACCGGCCCCGTAACTCTTCCCGGATAAAAAAGTTATGGCTGTCTGAATGGGGCATGCTCATTTAAGTCCTTTGGGCTTTATGCATGGAGTTCTGACATTCAATCTGCTTCATGAATTCATCAGTCAAGCATCCTACATTAGTTCAAGTCGATGGGCTCTGTATGAGCTTTCCAGCGATATCTTACAGGCCCTGTAACTCTTCTCGGATAAAAAGTTATGGCCGTCTGAATGGGGCATGCTCATTTAAGCCCTTTGGGCTATACGCACAGAGTTCTGACGTTCAGCCCAACGCATGCATTCATCCGTAAAAAATCCTACATAAGTCCAAGTCGACGGGCTCTATATGAGCTATCCAACGATATCTTATAGGCCCCATAACTCTTCCCGGATAAAAATTTATGATCGTTTGAATGGGACATGCTTGTTTAAACCCTTTGGGCTTTACGCATGAACTTCTGATGTTTGGCCCGCCCCATGAATTACCCCGCTAGAGGTTCTACATCAAACCAAATCAATGGGCTTCTGGCGGACTGTGAATGAGCTTTCCAATGGTATCTTACAGGCCCCGTAACTCTTCTCGGATAAAAAGTTATGACCGTCTAAATGGGGCATGCTCATTTAAGCCCTTTTTGCTTTATGCACACAGTTCTGACGTTCAGCGCGCTCAATGAATTCATTGGTCAAACATCCTATATTATTCCAAGTCGACAGGATCTAAATGATCTTTCCAACGGTATCTTACAGGCCCCGTAACTCTTCCCTGATAAAAAGTTATGGCTGTCTGAATGAGGCATCCTCATTTAAGCCCTTTAGGCTTTACGCACGGAGTTCTGACGTTCAGCACACTCCATGAATTTATCCGTTAGACATCCTACATTGGTCCATGTCTATTTAATCTGAATGAGTTTTCCAACGGTATCTTACAGGCCCCGTAACTCATCCCGGATAAAAATTTATGGCCGTATGAATGGGACAGGCTCATTTAAGCCCTTTGGGCTTTACGCACAGACTTCTGACGTTCGACCCGCTCCATGAATTAGATATCTAGACACTCTATGTTAGTACACGTCAATAGGCTTTTGACGGGCTCTGAATGAGCTTTCCAACGGTATCTTACAAGCCCTATAACTCTTCCCGGATAAATAGTTATGGCCGCTTGAATGGGACATGCTCATTTAAGCCCTTTGGGTTTTATGTACGGAGTCCTGACGTTCAACCTACTCCTTGAACTCATCTTTCAGACATCCTACATTAGTGTAAGTTGACGAACTCTGAATGAGCTTTCTAATGGTATCTTACAGGCCCCGTAACTCTTCTTGGATAAAACTTTATGGCCGTCTGAATGGGGCATGCTCATTTAAGCCCTTTGGGCTTTATGCATGGAGTTATGATGTTCACGTCGCTCCATGAATTCATCTTTCAAACATCCTACATTAGTCTATGTCGACGGGCTCTGAATGAGCTTTCTAACGGTATCTTATAGGCCCCGTAACTCTTCCTGGATAAAAAGTTATGGTCGTCTGAATGAGACATGCTCATTTAAGCCCTTTGGGCTTTACACACATACTTTTGACGTTCGGACCACTCCATGAATTAGACCGCTAGACATTCTACGTTAGTCCACATTAATCGGCTTCTGACAGGCTTTGAATCAGCTTCCCAACAGTATCTTAAAGGCCTCGTAACTTTTATCGGATAAAAAGTTATGACCGTCTGAATGGGGCATACTCATTTATTCCTTTTGGGCTTTACGCATGGAGTTCTGACATTCAGCTTGCTCCATGAATTCATCTGTCAGATATCCTACATTAGTCCAAGTCGACGGCCTCTGAATGAGCTTTCCAACGGTATCTTACAAGCCCCGTAACTCTTCTCGGATAAAATGTTATGGCCGTCTGAATGAGAAATGCTTATTTAAGCCCTTTGGGCTTTACACAGGGACTTATGATGTTCGGCCAGTGCCATGAATTCATCTGTCAGACATCTTACATTAGTCCAAGTCAACAGGCTTTGAATGAGCTTTCCAACGGTATCTTATAGGCCCTGTAACTCTTCCCGGATAAAAAGTTATGGCTGTCTGAATGGGACATGCTCATTTAAGCCATTTAGGTTTTACGTACGGAGTTCTAATGTTCGGCCCACTCCATGAATTAGATCGCTAGATGTTCTACGTCAGTCCACGTCAATGGGATTCTAACGGACTCTGAATGAGCTTTCCAATGGTATCTTACCGGCCCAGTAACTGTTCCCAGATAAAAAATTATGGCCATCTGAATGGGGCATGCTCATTTAAGCCATCTGGGCTTTACGCACAGAGTTCTGATGTTTAGCCCACTCCATGAATTCATCTGTTAGACATCCTACATTAGTCCATGTAGACAGAATCTGAATGAGCTTTCCAATGGTATCTTAAAGGCCTTGTAACTCTTCCCAGATAAAACGTTATGGCTGTCTGAATGGGACATGCTCATTTAAGCCCTTTGGGCTTTACGCACATACTTCTGACATTTGGCCCGCTCCATAAATTAGACTGCTTGATGTTCTACATCAGTCCACATTGATGGCCTTCTGACATTCGGCCTGCTCCATAAATTAGACTGCTTGATGTTCTACATCAGTCCACGTTGATGGCCTTCTGACGGACTCTGAATGAGCTTTCCAACGGTATCTTACAGGCCCCGTAACTCTTCCTGGATAAAAAGTTATGGCCGTCTGAATGGGGCATACAAATTTAAGCTCTTCGGGCTTTACGTATGAAGTTCTAATGTTCAGGCCACTCCATGAATTCATCCGTCAGACATCTTACATCATTCCAAGTCGACAGGCTCTGAATGAGCTTTCCAACGGTATCTTAAAGGCCTCGTAACTCTTCCCGGATAAAAGGTTATGGCCATTTGAATGGGACATGCTCATTTAAGCCCTTTGAACTTTATGCACAGAGTTCTGACGTTTGGCCCGCTCCATGAATTAGACCGCTAGACGTTCTACGTCAGTCCATGTCAATGGG